CCGGTCTCCAAAAGCACAGGCCGTGCATTTCGGTGTCCAAATGCACAGGCCGGGCATTTCGGTGTCCAAATGCTCAGATCAGGCATTTCGGTGTCCAAATGCACAGGCCGGGCATTGCGGTGTACAAATGCACAGGCCGTGCATTTCGGTGTCCAAATGCACAGGCCGGGCATTTCGGTGTCCAAATGCACAGGTCAGGCATTCAGGTGTCCAAATGCACAGGCCGTGCATTTCGGTGTCCAAATGCACAGGTCGGGCATTTCGGTGTCCAAATGCACAGGCCGTGCATTTCGGTGTCCAAATGCACAGGCCGAGCATTTCGGTGTCCAAATGCACAGGCCGTCCATTTCGGTGTCCAAATGCACAGGCCGGGTATTTCGGTGATAAACGGTGTCCAAAAGCACTGTGTCCAAATGAACAGTGTCCAAAAGAACCGTGTCTAAATGAACGGTGTCCAAAAGCACTGTGTCCAAATTAACGGTGTCCAAATGAACAGTGTCCAAATGACCGTGTCCAATAATCCGTGTCTAAATGAACGGTGTCCAATTGTACCGTGTCCAAGTGCGCCTCTCCCATTTATTGCAATTAGTGGTAGATTCATCATCAACAGATAAATCCTTTACGAACTTTTGGAAGCAAAGAAACTCGTTAAATAATTGTTCTTCATTCAATACTATATTCCGAGAACGTAAAAATTCAAGTGAGGCTTCTAGATCTGACCACTGAGCTGAATTAATTTTACTAATATCCATCCATTCAAAAACATCCAACTCTTCTAAGGGCTTAATCCAAGATTCTAAATAATTTATCATTGTTATATAAAAATTGTTTATTTCTTCAATGAATTCTGTAGTACTCTTTCCAGTATTTTCAATTTTTCTTAAAATTTCTTTTACTTTCAATGGCATAAATTTCTGATTAATTCTCTGATTTAAATTATCAATAATTTCTTTTAAAACTTTTCTTACTTCAATAATAGAATTATCAGCTCTTTCAATTGTTTCAATGTTTGTATGCATTATGTTCATGGTCGAGTGTATTGTAAATAAAAAAGCTTCACTGAAATTGTTTTCCAAAAAAATCTTTAAGACTTTTGGCGGATTTTCTAGACTCAAAAAGTAATTCTTTAAGGGTTCAAATAATTTTAACAAACGTTCAATGGCGGGATATAACCTTAACCATCTCGTTTTTTAATGATACAAAAGTTTAGAGTATTCAACATCACATTCTTGGCAAAAATCTTTCAAAATTTCTGTTCTTACAGTAAATATTGAAAATAAGGTAATTATATAGAATAACGGACCACCCTCCAATCTCGATGACCTTGACATATGTTGTCAAGGTCATGACCCTGAGTGACCTTCAGAAGGTTTTAGCCGTCGCTCGTGGTTCGTTAAAAAGTTATTAACAAAAAATGTTTAACGAATAGAATATGGTTTCTAATATTTATCTCACCAAATATTAAAAATTTTGAAAAATGTTTTAAACAAAAGTTGTAGATCTCTTTGAAATATGCA